TAAGGAGGTCTAGAGGTTGATTGTCCTTCACAAAAAACGTTTTTAACACTAAATTCACCATAATATCTAAAAATAAAGTTTATAAAAAAAAATTAATAAGAGCAACCTGATCTGATACCAATTGTTGGATCGATATGACAACCCTAGAAGGGGTGAATAGGGTTTCAACAATGTAATTATTAAAAAAAAATTTAATAAGAATAAAACTTATAACATGCCATAAAACTTCAAATTTAGAATTTAAATAAGAAAATGGTTAGAAAATATAACACCATAGTTTTATAGTGATTCGGTCAAACTCAACCTACTCCACTTCTCAATCGCCTCTTGGGAATTTGAACAAAACTTTTTGACTCTTTCCTCGGATTAGAGTCCAACCGCTACACCGCTCCTTTTACGAGTTCAAGATCTTTTCCACAGCTTAAGATCAAACCGTACACTGCTCTTTTTATGAGTTCAAGATCAAACTCAATCCTTTCCACGACTCAGGATCAAATTGGTACACTTGTCTGAAATCTTATAGAAACACACCACAACTCTAATAGATTTACAATTTTCTCCCAATACAATAAGTATCTCTCTCATGAATAAGATAAAAAAAGAAATAGAATTGGAAGCTTTGGAGAGAGCATCAATGGAGGCTTTTAAAAAAAGTTTAGATCGAGGAAACAAAGATAAAAAAAGAAATAGAATTGGAAGCTTTGGAGAGAGCAACAAGACTTTTAAAAAAAAGTTTAGATCTAGGAAACAAATGTTATGTGTGTTGTGTTGTGACAAATTATGAAGAGGTGATAGTTTAAATAGTGATGAAGTTGTAAAAATAGGAATTGATACGGACCACTAAAACGTGAATCGAAACTGGATCACGAAAAATAATATTTATTTATTTTTAAATTTATCGTAAAAGATTATAGACTACATGTTTCATTTAAATATATATAATATATATTATTTTAAATAAATATTAAAAACATTTTAAATATATAACATATTGAAATGTAATAATATATTAACATTTTAAAAGTAATTGAAAAGTTTTATAAATCTAATTGAAATTAGAATGATTTTGTAATTCAAATAATTTTCTTTCTCAAAACTAGTTTTATAAATGTAAATGAAATTATTATAATTTCTTTCCATTTAAAAATAATAACTAGTTTTCATAAATGAAATCTTTAAAAATAATAATTAGTTTTCATAAATGAAATCATTATATTTTTTTCGAGTAACAACTCATTTTCATAAATGTAAATGAAATCCTTATAATTTCTTTTCACTTGAAAACTTTTATAAATGTAATTGAAATGATTTTATAATTCAAATACTTTTTTAATTTAAAAGTAATGGAAACTTTTATAAATGTAGTTGAAAACTCCACCATTTGTTACTCTACTAATGTCATACTTTGATTGGTCTATGATGTCAATTTTGCCGCTGGTCCATGATGTTAATTTTGTCACCACATCATCACGTCAGATATCTTGTTTTGAATTTGATTGGTCCATTATGTCAATTTTTCCTCCACATCATCACGTCGGGTATCTTTTTTGACTGAAACTTCTTTTTTTTATCTCTAATTTGAGTGAACCAAAGAAGACGTTGAAATTGTTATTCCCAACCTTACACTGTGGACAAAATACTAAGAATGGTTAATAATTGAAGGTCGATTTGTTATTATCAAAACATCAATTAATTAATTAATTAAAATTAATTAATTTGAGATTAATGGCCAAAAAGCCAACAGCCTTCAGTACTGCAGCTTATATTATCAATCGGTTGCCTACTCCACTTCTTGGAGGTAAGTCACCTTTTGAACTCCTCTATGGCTACTCTCCGCATTATGACAATTTTCATCCCTTTGGTTGTCGTGTTTATCCTTACTTGCATGATTATATGCCTAACAAGCTTTCTCCCTACCGCATTTTTTGTATTTTTTGGGTTATAGTCCTGCTCATAAAGGGTTCTGCTGTCTTGATCCTGCCACCACTAAGCTATATATCACCCGCCATGCTCAATTTGATGAAACTCACTTTCCTGCTATCCCTAGCTCCTAGGCCCAACCTCTTTCCTCTCTTCATATTTCAAATTTCTTGGAACCACATCTTTATCATATTGATTCATCCCCCTACCACTTCATCATCGCACATTCCTCGATCCAGTTCATCCCCGTGTGATATTTGTTCTCGCCTTGTGGATGAGTCTATGCAGGTTGATACTTCTCGTGCAGGTTCTGCTTTACCACCCTCGACTTCTGATCTGACCTCTATTGAACCTACTGTTGATTCCTCTTCTTTGGGCTCTCATCCTATGATCACACTAGCCAAAGCTGGTATATTCAAGACTGTCATCCAGCAAATATTGATATTTTGAGCTCATCTGGACTTCTTTCTGCTCTTCTTGCATCCACTGAGCCAAAAGAATTTAAATTTGCAGCTAAGAATCCTGCTTGGGTTGCTACCATGGATGAAGAAATTCGAGCTTTACAACAAAATGATGCTTGGACTTTGGTTCCTTGCCCTACCAACACCAACATCGTGGACTCTAAATGGGTGTTTCGAATTAAATATTTGCCTGATGGATCTGTCGAGCGTTTCAAGGCTCGTCTTGTTGCCAAAGGTTATACTCAGGTTCCTGGTCTTGATTACACTGACACTTTCAGTCCGATTGTCAAAGCTACCACTGTCCGTGTTGTGCTTTCTATTGCAGTCACAAATAAATGGCCTCTTCGACAACTTGATGTCAAGAATGTTTTTCTCAATGGAACTCTTATTGAACGTGTTCATATAGAACAACCTCCTGGGTATATTGATCCTCGATTTTCCACTCATGTTTGTCTATTAAAGAAAGCCCTCTATAGCTTAAAGCAAGCTCCTCCCGCCTCGTTTCCGCGTTTTAGCTCATTTCTTCTCACTTGGTTTTTTTTGTAGTCGCATTGACACGTCCCTTTTTGTCTTTCATCAGCAATCTAACATTTTCTATTTACTTCTTTATGTTGATGACATTATTGTTACTAACAACAACTCATCTCTTATTGACAGCTTTACTCACAGCTTCATTTTGAGTTTGCTACCAAAGATTTGGGTTCTCTCAGTTACTTTCTTGGTCTTGAAGCTTCACCCACTTCTGATAGTCTCTTTATTAGTCAATTAAAATATGCTCGAGATATTCTTACTCGTGCTCAGTTGCTCGATAGCAAACCAGTCCACACTCCCACGGTTGTTTCTCAACACCTTACTGTTGATGGTTCTCCTTTCTCTGATCCTACTCTCTATAGATCTCTTGTTGGCGCCCTTCAGTACTTGACAACGCGTCCAGATATTGCCTATGTTGTTAATTCTGTCCGTCAATTCTTGCATGCCCCTACTGCAAATCACTTTCTTGCTGTCAAACGTATTCTTTGCTATGTCAAAGGAACACTTCACTTTGGTCTTACCTTTCGTCCATCCATGGTTCCTAGTACGCTAGTCGCTTATTCAGATGTTGACCGTGCTAGTTGTCCCGATACTCGTCGTTCTACATTCGGCTATTCTATTTATCTTGGTAACAATCTCGTTTCTTGGAGTGCCAAAAAGAAGCCTACTGTTTCACGCTCCAGTTGTGAATCTCAGTATCGTATTCTTGCCACGACTGCTACTAAACTTCTTTGGGTTACGCATCTTTTGCATGACCTCAAGATCCCTATTTCACAGCAGCCCTTAATCTTATGTGACAACAAAAGTGCTATTTTTTTAGCTCTAATCTCATTTCTCACAAGCGGGCCAAACCTGTTGAACTATATTATCATTTCCTTCGAGAACTTGTTATTGCTAGCAAATTTCGCACACAATATGTACCTTCTCATCTCCAAGTTGCTGACATCTTCACGAAAAGTATTTCTCGACCTCTCTTAAAAATTTTCAGATCCAAGCTTCACATCCATTCAAATTCGACACTCAGCTTGCGAGGGTGTTAAGGATAATTGACCGTTTATTATAAGACAAATATCTTTGTCTTACATTACGACTTACCATATTTGCCATTTTATTAAAGACAAATATATTGTATTTAAACATTTTCATGGATGCACCTTATTATACTTTAATTTATTGGGATGGGTGTATACATGAAATGTTATTTTGAGAAATTATGGGACGTTTTTACACAAATTCTGTGATTCAAAACTTTGTGCAAATAGTTATCTATGATATTATACCACAGGCTATGTGGTCTATTTGATTTTGTGCAATTAATTATTGATTTGTGTGTATGAGAATTGTACCAAGAGTTCTGTGTTTTATCTTCTGTGAAACTAAAAATCTGTGTGCATAAAAGTTGTCTGAGAGCTGTGTGCTCTAATTTAGGAATTTTATCACCATTGAGAAATATTTTGGTGCCATCTGTATTTTTTTGTTGTGTATATGTATATGCATATCTAATCCTAATTTTAAAGGTTACTTATGAAGTGTTTCTAAATACTCGCTTTTTCTAAAAAGTTTTTAAGTAAAGGGAAAGATGCGAGAGAAAAGATTGATGGTTGACTGAGTTTTATGATTTTGATGTTTTGTTTATGGGAATTAGATTAGTTTTTCAAATAATATTTTATTTTTTCTTAATAAACTTAGACATATGTTGGACATTTCATATTGCAATTTCTAAACGACAGCCCCCAATTGATCAAAGTCTAAAAAGTCGGATCATTACACTACTAACTTATTCAAGTTAACGAAGATAAAATTTAAAAAAATTCAATCTTTTTCGAGTTTAAAGTAAAAAATTCATATGACAATATTCAAAACTTTAGGAAGAAAAATCATTATATGTGGTCAAATCTAGGGCAGAAATAGATTGTTTTAGCGTATTCTTAGCTTTTCAAACCATAATCTCTTACATGTTTGAAAACATACATAAATTGAAGCATATATACATATATATGTTCATACTACAACAATAATAACACAAAATAATTTAAAGTTGGGTTGTTGGTCCACTAGAATTCTGTGAACATATGACAAAACTAGATGTCGTTAACATTGTCTCATCCATGACATAATTCCCACCAATAAAAACTGTAAAGAGACGGCAGCTTCTCTGCCAGCCACATACTTGACTACAAAACAAACCCAAACTCTCTCTGCAAATTTGGGACCAAACTCAGATCCTTCTGTAACCCCAATACACATTCATTTCACTTCTAATACTCAAAATCACAAATTTCCATCTTGGATCCTCATATTTTGGTTTCCTCCCCACGAAAAAGATCCTTACCCTTTTCCATCACAAACATCATTACATTCCCTTCTCATCCACTGCTCTCTAGTACACATAATAATAATAATTGTACATACGAAAGCCACACCAAAACAAAGATCATAATTTTATGTCACATTCTTAATGCTAACACACTTAACATACTATTTTAACAAATATCATAATTTTATGTCACACTTAAACCCACCTCTCCTCCTAAATATTGACGTTGTTGTGATTATTGGTCCTTTGCCTTTTGATGCTGCCTGAGGATGATTGGTCTTCGCTACAAACCTTTTCCATCACGCCCTTTAGGGCTTCCTGAATGGAACTGATGCTGTATTGGTGGTGCTGCTGTTCAGGCTCCTCTTGGTCGCTGGAGGAGTCGTCGTCCCCGGTGATAAACAACACGTTCTTTACTCGGCCGCCCAGCGTCGTGATCTCCGCTTTTAGGGTTCTCAAGCGGAGGGATTTCAGGGTTTTAATGATCTGTGGGAGAAGATCAGACCTGTCCTCACAACAAAGTGAGGCTTTTATCACGAACTTACCGTCCTCGTCCGATGCATCGACGTCAACTGATAGCTCATCGAGCTCGGTCGGAACTGGACTTACATCAGCTATCAATGTCGTCTGGCGTTTCAGCTCTTTTACATGTTGAATTACCTCTGCAAGCAAGGATGCCTTGTCCGTCTGCAAAAACATTGTAAAAAGGATTTCTTTGAGAATAGTAAAAAATATATTACATGAATTCATTCAATTTTAATGAAATTGATTGAATAAGAGCTTCCATTTTATATCGCATGTGGAAAAAGAAGTAAAAAAATGTATAAAAATCTTGGATTTTAGAAAATTCCATAGCATAAAAAACAAAAAATAGCCCAATTTGGGAGTGATTTTGAAGTAAAGAAATTGATTCCATTTGTTTTTGGGTTTAATTTGAGGAACAAAAAGAACTTACTTTGGTGGTACTTGGGAGTAAGCTTCGTAACTTAGCAAGATGATTATTGATTCTCTCTCTTCTTCGTCTCTCAGCTTCACTATGGCTTTTAGAGGCAGCAAGAGCTTTGGCGTCCATTATTTCTTGAGGGCTCATCTTACTCAGCTCGGCCTGCAGCCCAAAGGGGCCAGACCCAGGCTGACCCATCTGCCCAATTCCAAGGCTATTGTTCCCAATATCGTAAGGGAACTGCAGAGAAGCATTTCTCCTATTGAAGAAACTGGCGTAGGAAGGTGGGGGCGGCGGCGGGATGAAGGGGTCGTGGTGGACTTGAGGGATGGTTGTGGTCGCGGTCCACGGAGGCGTAAACATCATAGGAGAAACTTCAGGAAAAATCAAGCCTCCTCCACCTCCTACTCCAAAAACGTCGCTGTTTTGTTGCATAGTCTGGAATTGTTGCATTAGGAGGTGCTCTTGAAACCCCTGAAAGCACTCTCCTTCCTCCTTCATAATATCCCAAAAAAAAACCCTACCCTTGTGATTAAGATCTGCTTGGTGCGTGGGCAGTGGGAGTTTGAAAAGGATGATGGGTTTGAGTTGGTTGAGATCAAAGGTAGGAGCTTTGGTTTTTCAACCCTTCCACTACGCTAAATATATAGACGCAGCAGCATCCATAGGCGCCCCCTTTCCTTTTCCTTTCCTTTCTTCTTACGGCATTCTTTGTCCACTTCTCTTTCTTTCTTTACACCGAAACCCCTCTCTCTCTCTCTCTCTCTCTCTCTCTCTCTCTCTCTCTATATATATATATATATATATATAATATGTACACACACAAACACAGCTTAGGTTTCTCGATTGTGTTACATAATCATTATTAAATACACTTTTGTTCCACTTCATCTTTCTAGATAGTAAGATTAACATGCTTCAACAACATTATGATTCTTCACTTAATTCAAATAATAATACCTATGTAATGCATTTATATCAAAGGATAAAAAATGGTTACTTTTTACCATTATAGATATCAAAATTGATGTTTTGTAAATACAAGAACTATATAAACTTCATAAAACTAAAATGAATGTTTTAGATGATGATTGAATGGACATTTTGGATTTTAGTTGATGAATTAATTAGTTTGGGTTTAAGTAAGTTATTTTTCTTTTTCTTTTTCTTTTTTTTAGTTAAAAAAAGGCATGAGGAGTGTGGGATTTTTTAAACTATCTAACTTTTACAACATTATTAATGCCTTAATTATTAAGTGCATCTCAAATGAGTTAAGTGTGGGCCAAAGGAGATCAAACAAACCCCCCACAAGTTACTTTCATCATTTGACCAACTCACCTCGACCTAACCTTAGTTCAAGCCCGAATCTTGCATTGTTTGAGTATGTATTGTGCAAATATAAATCTTATGTTAGGATCGACAACAATGCACGCATTCAATCATGATGAACACAAAGAACAAGAAAGAGAAAATGCAACGATGAATATTGGCTAAAAGTTTATATTGGTAAATTCAAGTATGTACAACAATAGAAAATACAGAGAAAAAGAACCACCTACTAGGTATAAATATCTACAGTATATCACTCCTAGCTTTTTACTATAAATTGTCTATAGCAATTCAATAAATTATAAATAGACATCCAGCTCCATATCTCAAGAATTCTTACCTTGTATTTTGAGGCTTTGCACAACCTCAATGTTCCAACATCAACACATTTTGTGAGCATGTTTGCTGGATGCTTTGCACCCTCTATCTTATTCAAACATATCACCATCTTCCACTAATATGCGAGTCCCTCTATCTTATTCAAACATATCACCATCTGACTATATGTATAAAGAATCTTCTCATGCTGCTTTTTGTCCGACTCTTCTAGATAGTCTATTACCCACATACTTAGCCTTAGTAGATAAAAGAACAACACATTTCTGAACCCTAAACATCCAATTATCCATGACTTGCTCCCACTTGGGTGTATCTTCCAACTGTACAACCTCATCAAAGGGCTTTAGTTTCCCTTCATCAATCAACAATAGATAGTGTAATGAAGGTACATACCTGCTCAGGTGTCAAATGCTCCACCTCTGGTTCCTCAACAACAATCTCAAAAGTTCCTTGAGTATCTACTACAACATCACTAAGTGAATTTTTCTTCAACTCAACTTCAACTCTCACTTGCTTCGTTGCCTTGAAACATTTCTTTTCTTTATCCTTGTATAGGACATTTTCATCAAAAGTCACGTCACAATGTCTCAGGATTTTTTTGTTTTTGACATCCCAAAACTTGTACCCGAACATGTCAGAATCATAGCCTATGAGGTAGCACTTCGTAGTCTCAATGTCAAGCTTGTCGCTCTTTTCTGGATAAACACGAACATACGCAGTGCAACCAAAAGTTCTCAAGTGAGAATACTTGGGTTCTTTTCTTGTCCATACTTCTTCTGGCAACTTAAACTTCAAGGGTATTGACGGCCTTCTATTGATCAAGTAGACTGCTATATTTACAGCATCAACCCAAAATATTTTTGGCAATTCGGAATGAATCCTCATACTCCTTGTCCGCTCGTTCAATGTTCTGTTCATTCTTTTAGCAACACCATTTTTTCTTGCTTTATCAAGAACTATCCTTGTTAATCTAATTCACTCAGATGCACAAAATGCTTTCTATTTAGACGTGTCGTACTCTTCTCCATTGTTAGACCTTAGGCATTTGATTTTCAAGCCAGTCTAATTTTCAACTTTAGTTTTTTCACTTCTTGAAGGTGACAAACACATCTGTTTTGTGTTTCAAGAAATAAATCCATACTTTCTTCCTGAAATCATCTACGAAGGTGACGTAGAACTTTGTCTGTGTGAACCATTTCTAATTGTACTTTCTTCAATTCTTTGGTAGTCTTTGTGAAGCTAACTCGTTTCTATTTGCTCATAACGCAGCTCTCATAAGGACTCATATCAACATATTTTAGACCTTCTAAAACTTCTTTCGCAGCCAGTATCTTCATTTCTTTGACGCTGATATGTCCAAGCCTATTATGCCATAGATTTGAATTTGAAGCACTCTTATTTGCATGTTCATACACCCTCCAGTGGTGTATAAAGTTTCAAATTTTATGCCACATGCTACCACCATAGTACCCTTCACAATTTTCCATGAATTCTTCCCAAACTCTATTGCATAACCTGTGGTGTCCAATTGACCAATAGAGATCATGTTCTTCTTGAGACTAGGAATATGTTTGACATCCTTTAATGTTCACTAATTTTCTGCCGGAGTTTTTATGCAGATATCCTCCTTTCATTCAATTTTCAAGGCTTTCTTGTCGGCAAGATATACTTTATCGAAATTTTTAGACTTGAAATTCTTAAACAACTCTTTATTTGGAGACAAATGAAAAGATGCACTTGAATCCAAAATCCAAGATTCAATTGGACTATCCACACTGAGGATTAGAGCATCCCCCATGTATTTTACGAATTTATAGAATCATCATCCTCCTCTGATTTGTGTTTCTACTTCCTCTTTGGTCTGGTACAATCTGCCTGAAAGTGACCCTTTTCTTCACAACTCCAACACGTTACGTTTGATCTGTTTGGAAAATTTGTATGGTTCTTTGATTTGATCGACCTTTTTTTTGGCCTTTTGATTTACTTCTTCCCCTTTGGTCAACACTGAGAGCACTACCAGATGAATCTTCAGTTTCTCGTTTGCAAATACTTTTGTTGAGAACTACATCTCAGATTTTATCGAACTTCAATTTCTTAGATTCTTGGGAATTGTTGATCGCGACAACAACAATATCCCACGACTTGGGTAACGATGACATCAAAATCAATGATTTAATTTTATCTTCAAAATTAATGTCCACCGAACTCAATTGACTTACAATTATATTAAATTCATTTATATGATCTGCAACAGATCCACCTTTAGACATTTGTAGATTGAACAACCTCTGCATCAAGTACCACTAGTTCATAACTGACGATTTTTCGTAGATGTTCAACAGTGCCTTCAACATATCTGACATTGTCTTCTCCTTGATGATGTTAAACGTCACGTTTCTGGACAGCATCAATCGGATCAATCCTAGGGCTTGCTGATCCTTGAGCTTTCACTACTCCGTGGTCATTGTATTCGACTTCACCCCCAATAGGGGTTCGTGAAGATCTTTCTAGTACATATAATCTTCAATCTGCATCTTCCATAAACCAAAATTTGATCCATCAAACTTCTCAATTCCAATCTTTGAGATTTCCAGCTTCACAGATTGTGGTGAATGTTGCCTAGCTCTGATATCAATTGTTAGGATCGTATAACAATGCACACACTCGATGAAAATGAACACAACGAACAAGAGAGAGAAAATGCAAGAAGAAATATTGACTAAAGATTTATATTGACGACTTCAGCTATGTAGACCAAGAGAGAATATTATATTAATGACTTTACCTATGTAGATCAAGAGAGAATATAGAAAATAAAGAAAGTACATATTTAAGGTAATGCTGAGTGGTGTATATATAATTTCAGTTTAATCTGTATAACTTTAGCAAATATAACCACCTATTATATATATATAGCTACAAATAGGCAACATGCTCCACATATCCAACACCTTCAACAATCGATCTCACGACTACACATGTCTATGGAGAGGGGTAGAGATAGGGAAGCCTTCTCCATTCCCTTCCCTCCACCTATTCCATTACCCATTGCTGTGAAACTTCTTATTTTTTTTTGTGAATGAATGGCAGGAACTCTCTTGAAATTTTTTCGTTTATTATTCTTTTTTTAAAAAAAAAATAGTTATTTTAAAGATAATTTTAATGTATAACTTTTTTTTATTTTTTTTTCAAACATAAACTATTGATTGATGTTGATTGACTCATGTTATTAGCCATTAAAGTTGGAACTTGTAAACTATTATTTGTTAATAAAGTCTTCACTCGTAATAGTAAACAAAATATAAATTAATCTATATCTTAATTACAAAATCAAAACTTGATAACATGATTTTCAAATTTATGAAAAATAACACTACACAAATAGTGATTGATTTTTTTTTCAATTAATAAATAAATACATGAATCAATAATGAGATCAACAAAAATAAAATAACCCGTATGACATAAATATAAGTTAGTCCAATTAGCACAAAAAAATCAATCAAAATGTAAAAAAAAAACATTTGTCATTACAAAATTCAAATGAACAAAGTTTTAAAAACCCATGGAAAATTGGAATGTTGGAAATATATGAAACTTTGAATGAAATTTAGAAAGACTATATGTGAAATACATTTATATTTATATTGAACGCGCATTAAGAATATAATTTATTTCTCCATCATCACTTATCTAACACTGATAAATCTCTTTCCATTCTTTTTGCATTCTATCTCCTAAGGTGACTGTAGCCTCTTTACTCGTGGCTCAACCCTTGTGTTTGACTCATGTGGATGAAATTACATAAAGTCTGTGAAGATTAAAGAGGTGAGTTAAACATGTTATAATTTGATGTGTTGGGCGTTGTGATAGGTTGAAGTAGTATTATAATGGATATAAAAGAGAGAAGAAAAAGAATGCATTAGAGAGTGTCGACCGACCAGAAGCCAAAAAGGGGCGATGATAAAGAAAAATGGAAAAAGGAAAAAGGAGGGGCCTTTTCCTCTTCCTCCGTCGGTCAAGGGCACCCACGTTGTTGCACAGGC